ATTCTCCAGCATCGGCAGTTCCTACTATCTCTGTAACCTGTTTCTATTTTCCTTGTTCATAGGTCGGCTTTGTGAACTGTTTGAAGTTTTCTAGTTCAGGTGACTTCTTGGTGGCTGGCATGGGGCAAGAGCACAGGTAAGGGACATGGGTACAGACCTCCATCCCCATCACAGCCACTTGGACTTTCCTGGGGGCATTCTCTGGTGGGAAGTCAGTAGAATCGCAGTAGAACTGTCAGTAGAGACAGCAAAAAAATAAAATCCGACGTGCTGTCAATCTCCCACTGACTTTTCTGGTGCTCTGGTTACTCCGATCCTGTGGAAATTCCAACTGACACACTTTTTAGACTTTTTGAACCCATTTGCTGTATTGTGGCTAATGGTCATTTGAATGATGAGCTGCTTTGTTGGTGCCATGCAACGTATCTGCAATATACAAACGCAGTATTGGGCTGATGTGGAATTGTAGCAATTAAAGCTCCAACATTGAATTGAGAAGCACTCACTACTTATTTATTGGTGTGATCCCTACCTGATCAGTTGTGGTTCTGTTTGTGACCTTTAGAACATTTCCAAACAACCTATTGATCAGTGCGTATGTCCAAAGTGTCAGGAACTGATAACAAACACTGTGCCAGGGGATGAACTGTTTGGGAAGATTATAGAGAGGCCAAGTTGGTGCTGACTGGATCTGTACTGAAAAGTGACTTCAGTTCCAGGTCACTGAAAACTATTGAAACAGTTAATGTGGTGTTAAAGTGTACCACTCCTTCAACAGTTCCAATGAGAGATCCACTTCAGCCCAACATCACCCCACCACCTTCCCCTCACCCAGTGCGTATGGTAAGTGTTTCAGGCCTGTCATCTTCCTCAGGTTTGGACAAGTCAATGAAGTGACCATTGGCCTGAGATGATAGAAAGTAAGCTGCCGTTCTTATCGAAACAGGAGCAGGCGATTGGTCTGGTCGAGCCAGCTCCATCATTCTGAGACAGCATGGCAGCTCAGTGGTTAGCACTGCTGCCTCAGTTTCAGGGACTCGGGCTTGATTCCAACCTCGAGTGTGTGTGGAGTTTGCATATTCTCCCCGTGTGTGGGTTCCCCCTGGCTGCTCCAGTTTCCTCCCACAGTCTAAGGATATGCAGGCTAGGTGGATTAGCCGTGGAGATACAGGGTTATGGGGATGGGATGGGGTATGGTGGGTCTGGGTGGGATGCTTTTCAGACAGTCAGTGTGGACTTGATGGGCCAAATGGCCTGCTTCCACACTGTAGGGACTGTGATTCTAGTCTGGGGCTGATCTGTATCTCAGCTCCTTTCCTCCATATCTCGTGATTATCTGCCAACAATATGCCTGCAAAACAAAAAAAAAGTGTTTGCCAAATCCTTTTTGTTTTGCAATCCGGCAGAGAGCTTTTAAGTTGTTCTGTCAATTTGTGCAGGTTTGCAGTCTTTTAGTAATACAGGTCTCACTTGTTCTCAGCAGCATTTCACTGTGCAATCTTCTATCTATCTATCTATCTATCTCTCCCTCCCTCCTTCCCTCTCTGTCTCCCGCCCTGCCCGCTCTTGCTCTTCTCGCTCTCGCTCTCCTCTCTCTCGCTCTCTCCACCCATATAATATATACATATATATAACGAAGACATACCCTGGGAGTACGTATTGAACATGGCCGCACATTCTGCTCAGGACTTGAAGTAATTGCCTGCTTTGCCTGGGGGATACTGCCTCTACACATTTCATTACTGTATTGTTGATTGTGATCCTTGCTGTTTGATCTTTTTCACAGTGTTTATTCTATTCTGGCATAGCAGTTATTTTTCCCTAGTTTCAATGTGATTACTTGCAGCTACCATTACCAGGCTGTGTTGAGACCTGTACCTTGCGATGTTTTCCTGTAGCAACTTGCATTTGTAAAGCACCTTGATAAGTAATGGATGTATTTAGCTCCTTAATTCGTTACTTAGTCAAGGGAAAAAGAATTTGCATTTCAATAATGCCTTAACCACCTCCATGCCAAAGTGCTTTTCAGCATTACTTTCCAGAAGGGGATAAAGTAGTAACAACTGCTATAAATGTGGGAAATATGGCAGGTAATGTGATACTGAGTCATTCCCCCAATTTGTTTAAATGAACCCATTTTGGACTGATTGGCAAACGGGAGTTTAGAGGTGTCACCAGTTTTCCTGGCTGATCACTCGTGCCATGTTCCTATCTGGTGACCTGCTGACATTAGTGTGTATAGACTTAGCTGGGGTTTCTGTACCTGTCGAAATTTAGCAGTTCGGGGTCTTAAGAGCCAATTAGTAAAGATTTGGACAGATAACTGTGACTATTGAACCGCACCTTTGCAAGAGTTAAAGTCACAGTGATAGGAATTAGTTTAAAATTAGAGCTCCAAAGGAGACGAGGAATTCCTGGGAACTTTGCATTCACATTTGAACTGCTCTGAAGTACTGTATACTGTCGAGTGTGCCAAGGTTTGAATGAATTAAATTTCAGCTTCTCGTTGCAGGTTAGGCCGCTGGTGGAGACTAAAAGAAGCCAAGAATGGAATCTGTATTATCCCACTGAAAAAGACACCACCCAAACAACAATCTGAAGACAACATGTAGTTCTGGTGTGCCTGATGTTTCTTCTGAATGTCAGTGAACACTCTGTGAACTCAGTGACTTTGAGAGCCTATATTTTTGTGAATAAAATGATGGTGAAATCTCTCTGCTTGCCATGCTTCTACAGTCGGTCCTTTTCCAAGAGAGCCTGCACTGTTTGCTCCTACTGATGTTGTTGTAAGCCTGGCCCATCCTCGCTTTCTGTACTTTGCCTGGCTAGTTTCTTTGATAACAATCTCCAATCACATGTGGAATTGGGTCTCAACTGGTAACGCAGGTTGTAGATGATGAGAGCAGTTTATAACTTAGCCAACATAACTTTTATCTGAATTCTCATTTTGATTTGTATTGGTCTTTTTAATTTTCTATAAAACTGTGCATAAGTGGAATCTTCAGAAAAGCTTACTTTACACAAAGGTACCTTTAAATGAGGTAAACTCTACGGTATGTGAATCCACACTCAGAGAGAGGAGGAAGAGGAGAAGGAAGATTGATACAGTTTGGAGCTTCTATTTGTGAATGTTGTGAGCAGTACTTATGGTTGGTTGTCAGCCTGGTGAGAGTGTAATGCAGGGCTACCTGCGTGCCAAAACCAGAAGTAGCAAGCAGTGGACAGGGCTCCGTAGTCCCCCAACCAACAAATCAGATCTTAGCTTTGCAGTCCTGCCCCATCCAGTCATGAATGGTGATGGACAATTAAACAACTCACATGAGAAGGCATCTCCACAAACAACCTCATTCTTAATAATAGGGGAGCTAAGTATACCAGTGCAGAGAGAAGGCTGAAGCATTCGTGGCAATCTTCAGCCAGATGTGACAATTGGATGTCTATTTTATCCTCTTCTAGTGATCTCCAGCATCATAGATACCAGTCTTCAGCCAATTCGCCACATTATCAAGGAACGATGGGCCTCATTGGATACTGCAAAAGCTATAAGCCCTAGCAACGTTCCAACAATAGTACTGAAGACTTGTGCTCCAGAGCTCGCCACTCCCCTAGCCAAGCTTTTGTAGTGCTGTTAGAACACTGGCATCTCCCTGACATTGTGGAAAATTGCCCAGGTATCTCCTGAACATAAAAAGCAGGATAAATCCAACCTACCCGTTTACAGTCAGTCTACTCTTAATCATCAGTAAAGTTTTGGAGTCTGTTATTGATGGTACTATTAAGTAACACCTGTTCACTGACCCTCCAATGCCAGCAGGGTCTCTTAACTCCTGACCACATTACAGCCTCGGTTCTGAAATGGACAAAAGAGCTGAATTCCAGATGTGAGAGTGACTGCCAATGAAGACAAAGCCATATTTGACAGTGAGAAATCAAAGAGCCCTAAAACAGCTGAAATCAGGAGAAACTCCCTGCTGGTTTCAATCATGCTAACACAGAGAAAGTTGGTTGTGGATGGCTGTCATCTCAGCTCCAGGATATCAATGTGTGGGAGTTCCTCAGGGTAGTGGCCTAGATCCAACCATCTTTAGCTGCTTCATCAATGACCTGCCTACCATAAGGTCAGAGGTGGGGATGTTTGTGCAATTATCAGCAATGTTCAGCACCATTCACTACTCCTCAGATACCAAAGCAGTCCATGTTCAAATGTAGCAAGATCTGGACAATATCCAAGCTTGCGCTGACAAGTGGCAAGTAACATTCAAACCACATAAATGCCAAGCTATGACTATCTCCAACAAGAAAATCTAACCATCGCTCTTAATATTCAATGGTATTATTACTGACTCCCCCCCCCCCCCAATATCCTAAGGAATACTATTGACAGGAAACTTCACTGGACTTGTCGTAAATAGAGGCTACAAGAGGAGGTTAGAGGTTAGGATTCCTGCAATGAGCAACTCACCTCCTGTCTCCCCAAAGCCTGTCCAACATCTCCAAGGTCCAAGTCAGGAGTGTGATGGAATACTCCTCACTTGCCTGGATGGGTGCAGCTCCAATAACACTGTAGAAGCTTGACACCATCCAGGACAAAGCAGCTCACTTGTTTGGCACCACATCGACAATCATCCAATCCTGCCACCACCGATGGCATTGCTTAGTAGCAGCAATGGATACTGTCTACAAGACACACTACAGAAATTCACCAAAGATCCTCAGACAGCACCTTCCAAATCCAAACCTTTGAAGAAAAAGAGATGCATCACCACCGGCAAGTTTCTTCCCAAACTGCGCACCATCTTGAGTTGGAATTGTTGCTGTTTGCACAGTGGGTCAAAATAATGAAACCCCCTTCCCATTGGCCCTACATTTCAAGGACTGCACAAGGTTCAAGAAAGTCGCTCAGGACCACCTCCTTGAGGGCAGTTAGGGGTAGGTAGTAAATTCTGGCCTGATCAGCACTGCTCACAATCCCAGGAACATACTTTTATTTAAAAATATGCTGGCTTACACAATTCAATAGATTATTTTCACCAATGCACTTTGTCTCCAAACCACAAATCTTTAGGGCCATGACAGGACTTATCCCACAGTGCATTCTGATCCCTCTCATGTATTTTTTCCCCCCTTTTGTACAGAAGTTGTGAGATTTATTCGATCAGGGCTACTAGAGTTGCTCGCAAATTCATTGATATTTTCCAATGAATGTTGTCGAGATCTTGCTGCATGCAGGGACAAATGATGTTTGTTATTTAGGGAGTTGCACGTGGAAATAAAACCTGTTGTATCAGTGAAGAAACCCAATTCTGTCCATATGAAGGAGGGAATGAGACTGCCTTGAGTTTAGGAACACCACCCTGAGGAGCTGTGACTGTCATTTTTACTCCTCCGACAGGAAAGTGTAGTTAACAACATGGTCCTCAGGCAAAGCATCAACCTCTTCAGTGAACTATGGTTTGAGTTTGTGTGTGTGTGTGTGAACTCGGGTCTTTTAGTTTCAAACTTTCCGCAATCATTTTCATCAACCCCCATTTTTGGAGTGTGTCGTGGTATGTAGGACAGTATGGACTGTTTCAGGGATTTCTTTTTCTATTCATTCATAGATAGAATGTGGGTGCTACTGGCTGGGTAGAGGATAGGGGATCCCATTTATCGCTGGATAGGGGAGCATAGTTAAGACTCAACCATGTGACTGGGTCTGGAGTCGCATTTAGGCCAGAACATATAAGGATGAGAGATTTCTTCTCAACAGTGCATTACTGAACCAGAGGTGTTCCTCTGGAGAATTGGCAGTAGGTTCAGGGTCGTCATTGTCTGCCTTCTAATTCCAGATATTTACTAGCTGCATATCCCACCATCTGCCATGAGGAGGCAATGGCCCAGAGGTATTATCACTAGCCTGTTAATCCAGAGTCCCAGGTAATGCACTGGGGAAAACTGAAAGAACAGTGGATGTTGTAAATCAGAAACAAAAACAGAAATTGCTGGTAAAGCTCAGCAGGTCTGGCAGCATCTGTGGAGAGAAATCAAAGTTAATATTTCCTCATAACTGAGGATGGGTCACTTGACCTGAAACGTTAACTCTGATTTCTCTCCTCAGATGCTACCAGACCTGCTGAGCTTTTGCAGCAATTTCTGTTTTTGATGTTAATGTTCTGGGCACTTGGGTTCAAATCTCAAGATGGTGGAATTTGAATTCAATAAAAAAATCTCTGATTTAAGACTGTACCGATGGCTGTGAAACCATTGCCAATTGTCAGGAAAACCCTGTTTGGTTCACTAATGCCCTGTAGGGAAGGAAACTGCCATCCTTACCTGGTCTGGCCTACATGTGACTCCAGGCCCACAGCAATGTGGTTGACTCCCAACTACCATCTGGACAATTAGGGATGGACAACAAATATTGGCCCAGTCAGTGACATCCACATCCTATGAATGAATTCTTAAAAAGTTTGAATCGAGTTTTCCAAGCATTACCGGGATCTCTGGATTGATTGAAGGCCATTGGCCTTCCCTGTTTGAGGATTGACTCAGTGAGCCTGGAATGACATCTGCGTAACGCCCCTTGACCAGCACCTTATCAGCTTGATAAAGCTTCTCTTGTGGGCTGTCTCTTTCTTTCTCTCTCTCTCTTTCTTTCTCTCTCCCTCTTTATTTCTCTCTCTCTCTCTGTCTCTTTCTCCCTCTTTCTTTCTCTCTCTCTCTGTCTCTCTCTTTCTTTCTCTCTCAGAATCTCTCTCTCTCTCCCTCCACCCCTTGCCCTACCCCCCTCTTTTATCCTTCCCGCAGCCGTGGCATCATTGCTGACTGTTCAGTCCCACCTGGAACCGAGTTGCCACACGGCCTGATGGCAAAGCAGAGCTGTGTTTTTTTGTCTCTGCCATCACTCATCAAAAACATCAATCCAGCCACTGTATCAGTGTTGGCAGTACGTGCCCACAATACAGGCACACTATGAATTTCATCGGCTGAGCTACAGCTGGAGCAAGTGAAGCCTTTGGCATGGAGGCTGTTTTTTTTTCCCTGAAAGCTGATCTTTAGAATCTCCTGAGAAAACAAACTCCTGGCAAGGTCAAAAAAGTGACACTAATTTTTTTTTTCCTCTTTATTCATTCACGGGATGAGGGCGTCACTGGCCGGGCAACATTTATTGCCCATCCCTAATTACCCAGAGGGCAGTTCAGAGTCAACCACATTTAGAATCATCAGAATCATAGGATCCCCACAGTGTGGAAGCAGGCCCTTCGGCCCAACAAGTCCACACCAACCCTCAGAGCATCCCATCCAGACCCCTTCCCCTATAACCCATCTAATCTACACCTCCCTGAATACTACGGGCAATTTAGCATGGCCAATCCACATCTTTGGACTGTGGGAGGAAACTGGAGCACCCAGAGGGAACCCGTCTCTGTGGGACTGGAGTCACACGTAGGCCAGACCAAGAAAAGATGGCAGTTTCTTTCCCCAAAGGACATTAGTGAAACCACTTGGGTTTTTCCCCAACAATCGACAATGGATTCATGGTCATCATTAGATTCTTAATTCCAGATATTTTATTGAATTCAAATTCCACCATCTGCCATGGCGGGATTCAAACTCAGGTCCACAGAACATTATCTGGGTCTCTAGATTAACAGTCCAGTAATAATAACACTAGGCCATTGCCTTCCTGTACCTTGTGTGCCATACTTTCTGTATCTTAATATTATCCCATATC